CACTAGGGCTGTTAAAAATGCGCCGTATTTAGCGTTGGTCTCAGTCCCACAAGCTGTGTCCGTCTCAACACAGAAACCAAGAGCTAACAATAACTGCTTCCTGCATGACGGCTCTCAGCCCCTGGAGGGAACCCGGCCTCCTGTATCAGGGTTCTCCAATAGGGAGGGTGTCGTTTCGCAAAGTGGTGTCCACAGACACCTCCCTGAAAGGTTGGGGAGCCCTGTGCGACGGCGCGGCGGTGAGGGAAACCTGGACTCCACAACAGTCCAGGCTCCACATAAACTGCCTAGAATTGTTAACAGTCCTGTTAGCACTGAAACATTTTTGTCCAGTTCTGGAGAACCGTCATCTTCTAATCAGAATGGACAACAGAGTAGTGGTCTCTTACATAAACAGACAAGGGGGGACTCGGTCCCTTCCCCTGCTGAACCTGTCTCACACTCTTTTACAGTGGAGCAGTGTTCATTTTCTGTCTATCAGAGCCATTCATGTTCCGGGGAGACTGAACCTAGGTCCAGACCTCCTCTCCAGGGGCGGACCTCTAGCAAAGGAGTGGAGACTGCATCCCACTGTGGTGGCCCAGATTTGGGTTTTGTTTGGCAAAGCGACAGTAGATCTGTTTGCCTCCAGAGCAAACACACACTGTCCTCTGTTCTTTTCCATGACAGAGCAGAGCGCTCCTCTGGGAGTGGACGCCCTAGCTCATCCTTGGCCCGATGTGCTTCTGTATGCGTTTCCCCCAGTGGAAATGATACCACTTGTACTAGAGAGGGTGCGCGGACAGAACCTGTCTTTGATCCTAGTGGCACCCCGCTGACCAGCGAAGTCTTGGTACGCCGAGATAATCAGCTTGCTAGCAGCTCAACCCTGGCAACTTCCGGTTCGATGAGATCTCCTCTCTCAGGCAGAGAGGGAGATTTTTCACCCACACCCAGAACTATGGAASCTGCATGCTTACCTGCTGAAAGGTCCAGCTTATTAGCCAAAGGCCTTTCTCCAGCAGTAATAACAACTATCCAAAACGCAAGAGCGTCGTCCACTAGAGGATTAAATTCCTATAAGTGGCAAGCTTTTGAGCGATGGTGTAAGAACAGGCACCTGGACCCTTTTCAGTGCGCAATAGAAGATGTTTTAACATTTCTTCAGGAGCTACTGGARAAAGGGCTCTCCTTCTCCACAATTAAAGTCTACTTAGCASCKWTTTCTGCCTGCCATGTAGGTTTTGATGGAGTCACACCTGGTGCTCATCCTTTAGCCGTGCGTTTTCTGAAAGGGGTTCGTAAGCTACGGCCTACTATTGAACCCACTATTCCCTCTTGAGACCTCACTGTGGTTCTTGAGGCTCTCTGCGACCCTCCATTTGAGCCCCTAGAGTCTGTAGAGTTGAAGTTTCTTTCATATAAAGTTGCTTTGCTTCTGGCTTTAGCTACAGCTAAACGTGTCGGGGACCTCCACGCTCTATCAGTGAACCCCTCCTCTATCCAGTTTTCTACTAATGACTCTAAAGTGGTTTTGCACCCTAACTCTGCGTATCTTCCTAAGGTGATACCTTCTAGTTACAGCTCTATGTCTATAGAGCTTTCCAGCTTTCACCGCGCCCCCTTTTTTGCATCTGAGGAGCAAAAGAGGCTGCATCTTCTGTGCCTCGTACGTGCTCTACGCACTTACATCAGCCGCACACAGGATGTAAGGTCATGTGATCAGCTGTTTGTGGCTGTTGCTAACGGCTGTTGCTAACGCACACAGAGGTAAAGCTCTTTCTAGACAAAGACTCTCACTGGATTGTAGAGGCCATCTTGCTAGCATACAGCAGCAAAAAACCTTCCAACCCCTCTTGGAGTTAAAGCTCACTCCACCAGGGGTGTAGCGACATCTTGGGCCCTTTTTAAAGGGGTACCTGGGAGTGACATTTGTACCGCGGCCAGCTGGGCCTCATCAAACACATTTGCACGATTTTAAAGCCTGGATGTAACAGCACCTTTGGTGGCTCATTCTGTACTTTCTGCCGGGTCCAAAGCTCTGCATTAGTACAGTACTTACTCAGACACACTACATAACTCAGGTCTGATATTGCTCTGCGGGGCACTTTGACAAGTCCCATATACAACTGTGTGTTGTACTGAGTGAAATGACTGAAAAGGAACYTAAGGTTATGAATATAACCACGGTTCCTTGGAGGAATGGAACGAAGTACAACACCTTGTTGGACCCGCATCACAAAAGGCTCGGTGAAGGGCGGTATCTAACTGAGTAATGACGCTGGTGACTCCGAACTTATAGGGTGAAGGCGGAGCCTGTCACCCGACGTTCAACGTCACCGGTCTATAGACGTGATTAGAGGTGGCTTCAGCCAGGCGCGCATGTCCCATTTACAACTGTGTTGTACTTCGTTCCATTCCTTCACGGAACCGTGTTTAAATTCATAACCTTACGTTTTTACTGAGTGCACTGCTCAGAGATGGATATATCCTGCTTTCTTAGAAAATACAAACAAGCTGTGCCGTTTGAACTTGAGCCATCAGTGTCAAATAATTTAAAAAGGGTCCTAAAACATACCAAACTTGTTACTTTTGTTGACATAGTTATCGTTACCTTAAATATCGATCAGGAAACCAGACAAATGTACTGTATGTTTTCACACCAAACTGCATTACGTGTTGTGTGTGTTCAGTGTTATACCACAGTTAGGTTTAAAGGAAGAACATATAGAGCTGGCTTAAGGATAATTAGATAAATGAAAATGCATACTTTCACTGACATAATTCAGCCTTTATCTGCAGCAGTTGGTCGTTTTGGTTTTCAGTAAGTTAGAGTTTCTCTTCCTCTGCTTATTACCCTATCAGCACTCTGTCATCCTGTCAAGTAAAAAGCTATGAATAAAAATTAAACTGTGGTTTTATTGTCAGCTGACCTTTCCTTTCAGTAATAATGTGCATCTTGCTTGGTGGCATTTCAAACAAATTAAAAATCAATTTAAATAGCAACATCATTTCTGGCACTCTCCCACATCTGCACTTAATTCGCGGTTTGCTTAGAAAGTCATGCATCACATTTAGAGACGTTCTTTCAATTAAACCGAGCTTACTTTCTGTCACTCTCTCCGCTGTGTAAATCACTATATTTTATGTTCGAAACTAAAAATATAGAACAGTTTGTCACTTCAGCTGTCTTTAAAAACGCTTCAGTTTAGTTTTTAGACTGCCAAGACGCTTCATACACTCCACACCATTACATCACTTCAAACGTCCCCTCTAATATATTGTTTAGACTCCACTGTAATGTATTCTGGAGTGCAGGGAGACTGTTTATCTACGCAGATCAATGTTTGTCTCATTTTCCCTTCAAATAGATGTCTTATCACTATCATTTAACAGCTCCCTGAACAAAAAACAGTTAGTGTTTGGGTATGTGTTTTGCCTTGGCACCAGTATTCACGAACTACAGAAACGACTTACAGTTTTTCTGTTTTACGTGGATCCATAAACACTCAACAGTTGCGTGGTGCTAAATAAGGCTGAGTGCATCTTTATGTTTGTCAACAGTTTTAACAGCAGTAGGGAGTAATATCTGCAGAGGTTGGATTCTTGTTTTTTGTAACGGCGTGTCTCTTCTCTGCCAGGTGACCCCTGCACCGTGTCCTCCCAGCTGGAGTTGGAGGAAGCGCTGCGCCTCTATGAACTCAACAAAGATTCAGAGCTCATTATCCACGGTGAGGTTTTTTTTTCCCCTCAACAGACATTATGTAACACAATGTTTATGTGTGTTTAGTTTGCCTGTCAGATGATTCTGACTCGTTTCTTGGTCAGCAGCAACATAATAGAACACATTTTGTCGTCAGCATTTTTGCTTTTCTCCTGCTGCTCCCACCTCCCTGCTGGGTCCTGTATCACAGGTATCCAGTTTAGCAGACAGAAAATTTAATAATTTAGAAGTTACGTACCAGCATTTGGTGTTGCTTTTTAATATAGGCTTTTGTTTTTAATATTACTAAGTATCTCCATCAAAATATAAAAAAGAAATTCTAAATTTTCTTGTGTCAATAACCAGCCTCGAGTCCTTCGATGTTTCTGACTGTATATTAGGTTAGGGTTATGGCTGCACGACATTAGAAAAACTGACATTACAATGTGATTACCATATGGAAAATATACAGAGAGCTGGAATTGCACCACTTTTGTTTCTTTTTGTTCAAATTACAAGTAGGTTTTTTGTCTTTATCTTAGAGTTATTCTCATCGTTTACTGGTTGATTTTATTGTGCTCGGACCTGAGTACGTGTTTCCAACCATCAGTGCAAACATGAACTGTGTTTTATTTAGTGTTGCCTAGCTGTGTCAATCTTGGTTTCTGTTTCCATCACGCTTTAATATTAACGTATTTGACCTCCTTTCCTCCAGTTCTCTGCAAATTTGCCAGAGTTCCTGCAGATCCTTAAAAAATCTTAAAAGGCATTGAATTCATCAATTCAAAGATAAGGCTTTAAGTAGCCTTAAAATGTCTTAAATCAAACTTTCAGAGGTCTTAAAAATGTTAACACGTTGTACATAGGATGATTGTAATTCATTTCAAATATTAAAGCAGTTGGTAAAAATATATATTTTTTTATTCCCATGCAGACATTCCCCTTTGACATCACTTCCTGTTATTTCACATGCAAATATCTCAACTGTTCATCTGAGCAATGTGAAATTTTGTTTTGTAATATGTTAATGCTGTCTTTTCAAAAGTGCATTCACTTTTCTTAGAAAAAATTGATGTCACAGGCACAAGTTTAAAATGGACTGCTAAGAATGTTTCTGCTATAGTTAGATATGGATAAAACAATTGGTCTATTAGCAATATTCATATACTTCGACCAAAAATACTTTGGTTTATGAGTTTCTGCCATTTTTAATTTTTTTGTCATTTTGTGTTTATTATGAAATTGGTCTTAAATTCAATTTCACTTGCCATTAAAAAGTCTTAAATTTAACTTTCCTTAAACTGTAGGAACCCTGTTTGCTCATCTTCCACATTTTTGTCAAGACCCTCAGCTTCCTCAACCCGAGACAGCACTTTTCCAAAAAATGTTACCATTATTGTCCCAGAAGGTTCTCAACAAAATGAAAGTTTTAGCCTTTTTGACATGAAGCCTCCCTCATCCACTGGTGAATGCAGCCCATTAAAATAATAATATATGATCAATGCCTCACTAGCTGCGTTTCCATTGATCATGAAAATGCGCAAATTAGAATTTCAAAAATAAATTTGCTCAATGGAAACACGTCAATTTGGAAAATCTTAACGTTTTTCAACAAAATGGTTTTGCGCTACGATGAGGTGGTTTTTCGGCCGTATCAAAATTGGTGTTTTTCGCAAAACTGCAACAGAAACACTTTTTTTGCATCACGGGATTCACATGATCAAGAACTGGCTGTTTCTACTGGCGAAAAAGACGACAAAGACGAAGACAACTGAAAGTAGAAGTAGTAGTAAAATCACCAAAGTTGTAAAAGAAAGTAGTAAAATCACTGACTACAATTTCCCAAAAATGCAGCACACATAGCCATTCCCAAGTATAAGGGGCTTGTCGCTCGGAAGCCTTGAAATGACGCCGATGTCTCCTCTGTTGGCTGATGATGAGTGCTAGTGTCGTGGTAGCAATATGCTATGTGTTTACATCCATTGCCGCCATGTTTGTAATGACTTATTGTGAGAACAAACATACTCACACTTGACTTTAATATTTTCTTACTTAATGGAAACGCTGCAATTGCGAAACTGTTTTTTCGACATTAACAAAATATTGACAAAGTTTTGCACACATTTGCAATGGAACTGATACTGACCAATGCTGACCTGTAAAAATAACTTGATTTTTTTGTGTTGCTGGAGCTTCTTCACTTCCCTTTTTAATTTAGCTTTGTTAACAAATAGTTGTCTTACTGCTTGGATGTAGAGTGAGTTGTTAATTCAGACATTTGATGAATACTTCATGGTAGGGTTGGGCATAATCGTATTGTGTGCAGATAATCTTCAGAAAAACATTAATCGATTAGTTTTTGGCACTTTACGATTAATACCACCAGGTGGACTGACTGGGGATTACTTCGGTCAGTCCGCTCGGTGCTCCTCTCTGCTTCAAATATGACGAACATTAAAAATAAAGTTTTGTAATTTATTTATCTATCACATTTTTAAATATGATGTATAGCCCGAAGACTGTAATTTTCACACAATTTGGAACAATTTCTTACAAAGAGCAAATCTTTCCCACTAAATTGGTCATGAGACTATGACATGTGACTACAAAATAAGGGTGTCCAGGGACTTCAGGGGATTAATCGTCAAATTAGTCGTTATCGGCTAAAAACCACAATTAATCGTGATAAATTTTTTTGCCAATATTGCCCAACCCTAGTTCATGGAAAGGTTGAGTTCTGTGTGACGAAACCTAAAGACAGCAGAGATGGCAACTGGTTAATGCCGTGTTTTAATCAAATCTGAGGTGTCAGGTCAGGAGTTCAGAGGATGCCACTGTGAAGGCTGAAGATGAATTTAAGTGGGGGTTAAAAAGAGAAGGCAGAAGGGCCTCAGGGGTCTGCCAGGTCTGCATGTTAACGAGCTCGTTGGCTGCAGCCCACACCTCACCTCTGACTCACACCGCTGCAGGTTTAGGTCGTCGCCCTGTCACCGGCTACTGTAAGCTTGTTTGTTTTCCCGCTTTTCTGTAAGCGGTGCACAAAAACACACTTGTTGATGAATTTCATTATTATTTGCTTGAGGCGAAGATGTTTTTGCCGAAGGTTGTAAATGTAAAATTACACTTTTATGCTGGGTGTTTTAACCTTGGCAGTTCTACAGAGCACTTCAAAGCGTTTTTGTTGTATCCTCTGTGGCACTTCAGCTGTTAGGAACGAACCACAGTATTGGAAACGCTGTTAAAATTTACTCTGCAGCATCAAAACATTCTCACATGACTGCGGCTGGGCTTATCTGCCTCATCACGTGAGCAAAGGTTTGCTTAAAAATCTTTTCTTTTTGTTTTCTTTTCAGTGTTTCCATGTGTACCTGAGAAACCGGGCATGCCGTGTCCAGGAGAGGACAGTGAGTTTAACCTTTTTCTCTCGTAGATTTGCTAAATTTAGACAACTTACTTGTAATGAACTCTTATTTAAGACTCTCTAATTAGGTGAATTACAGAATAACTTTTATTTAAACACAAAAAAATGAAGATAATTCAGATTTTTAGCTTGTTAAATTAGTTTGTAAATCATTTTTTTGAAATAGTTTTGAAACATGTGGGAGTAGTTCATGTTTCTTTTGTTTGCTGCTCAGCTCAGTTCATTTTTCTCTCAGTTGGAATAACAACTTCTCTGGCTCAGATAAAAATACTTCAGTATAGATGCACTGTATCTCTGAAGGGTAATTATATTTTAAAAAGAAACCCATCAGTGTACCTTTGAATCTGTTCTGCCTAACAGTTTAATTATAAAAAATCTGCCTGCTTCTCTAAAAGAGAAAAATGTGTTTTTATAAGAGTTGATCAGAAAACACTGAGACAGTCTTTTAACAGACGTGTTTTATTGACAGCATATTGAATCGTGAAGTAAAATCAGCATAACAAGAATAATCAGTAACGGTTTCTAACAAACCATTATCAATATGAGTAATTATTTACTTTTAAAAATCCTGCTTTGACCGGAGCACAGTGGCTCATGTGGCTTCTCAAAAACATGGATGTTAAAAATCCACAGCCATTATTATGATCATATTATGCAAAAACAGCACATTATGCATCATTTAAATCTCATGTATAGATTGTACAGATTTGGACTTAGTTTCAGAATAAATTAAAATCCGTTTGCATGCGTTGACGCTGTTATTCTTCCCTCCAGAGTCGATATACCGCCGTGGCGCTCGGCGCTGGAGGAAGCTCTACTATGCAGGTGGTCACGCCTTTCAGGCCAAACGATTTAACCGGGTGAGACGTGATACAGACTTTTATCTGAACAGACTTTGTTCCTTTTGGTCACTATGTTTTTGTTTGTTTTGTTTTAAAAAAAAATTAATGACTGTATTTCATATGTTTTGAATATAGGTTATAGGTTAGGAAATACAGTATTTATGTGTGGTGGTGTGTAAAACTTATGAACAAAAGGTATTTTTTAAAATCTGTTTTGTGAAATATTAATCTGAATCTGACTGATTCTACATTAACTGGCTTCTTTCTGAAGCAGTTTTTTTTTTTTTTCTAAAATTCAAAGTGAAAATGTGTTTTTAAATTTCTTTTTCTTCTGTTCACCCTCGTGCGCAGCGAGCTCATTGTGCCATCTGTGAAGATCGAATCTGGGGTCTGGGGAGACAAGGTTACAAATGCATCAACTGCAAACTGCTGGTGCACAAGAAGTGCCATAAACTGGTCACATTAGAGTGTGGCAGACAAATGATGCACGTGAGTTTCATCCACAACTCCCACATTCTGTAGAATTTACTTTTTTATGTTAATAATCAATGATGAATGTTGTCCAGGAACAAATAATGCCCAGCCCACCATCGAGTCAGTCGTCAGACGCAGCTGATCATCAAGGTAACTCAAACACAAACAAAAGGATTATTTACCAGCTTGTCTGTGTTTCTAACTTCCATGTGTTCTGTCTGACTGTGTACATATTTATGCTGCTGAAGAGTTGAGCCTCCCCTCATTTATTTCACCGCCAAACTCTCAAGGTTTTCTCCTAAAGTGGCCTTGAGTTGTAATGTTCAATTTTCACGGGACTTTGGCAAATGGTCCCACTCATTTTCCCAGACCACTTTTCAAAAACACGAGTTGTTTTGTTTCAGCTGCTCAGTCCTGATCCTTGAGTCACTCAAGCCCAAAAAAGGGCACCTAACTCAAGATGTGAACGATTGTTTTCTCCACTCTTAACAGAAAGCCTTTCAAAGGCTCGAGGTGAAATTGTGTTTTCAAAAACAAAATTTATTTCATTGCGTCTACAAAAGCTTTTAAAAAGAGAACTACTTTGGCTGGCTCGTAGCCATAATCTGCAGTAGAGTGGCTGACCTGTTTCTGCAGCAGATGAAATCACATCCTTGGGAAAAATATATTAAAAAAATCAACCTGAACGATGCATCATCCTTTATTTAGTACTTCTGCTGCAAACATGATTCTTAGCTAATAGCTCTTGAATAAAACACTGAATCTTGCAGAGGTGCCAACCATTAAGATCTCACCGTAACCATTACGAAATCGAGTCCCGCTCTGAACCATTACTGCGTACTAGACATTTATTACGTTCTGGCTCCTGAGACACCCCGCGCCGAGCTCCTGGGAAACCCCTCCCGCTGCAGCATACGTCACTGCATGGGATTTCATCCCGCTGAAGTCCACAATGCAGGAAAAAAATAATCAGAGACTCGTCACTTGATGTTTATCGACAAACTGGTCCCGGATTAAGCTCCAAAGTTTTTATCAGTCAGATTCCACCATGAAAAATGTCTGTTTTATCCCCATTTATGAGTTTTTGGCCGTTTGACTCTCTTTGTGCTGCTTCCTGGTACAACAGTCGGCTCTGGAAGCAAGTCACCTTTTTTTGGACGTTAGTGGTTGAAGCAAAATGCAGCGTCTGCGCGCTTTCAGCACAGACAAAACACTCCCACGAATTTCTGACCAATCACAAAATAAAGTTCTTGTGTTCTTATGTGGAGGGGCGTAAAAAAGTTCGACCTGCGGGTCACAACAAGAAGTGCCGAAAATGTCGACAATGCGAACAGAGTGATGTTTATATAATATAATATAATATAATAT